GACTGATCCTCAGCAAAAAAATAAAATTTTAAAAATCAGCATTCAGAATGTTGTCAAAAGCTGTGCTGAAATATAAAATATACTCAAGAAGTCTTAGATACTTTTGAACTAATTCAGTGAACTTACTTAAACCAAACTAGTTCAATCCAAGCGCTGGTGGTTTCATTGAAAAGTAGGAGGAGGCATATTTAGGAAGATGAAAATGTGGAAGAATCTGTTCCTAAAGATTTAGAAATGTTTATTCTCCAGCAGCTACTGTAGTCAACAGGCTACAGGACTAGATACATCAGGGATTCCAGGGCAGTCTTGGAGAACTGCTTGACTTTCGCCTTCAGTTCCCTATTTGTAAAAATGGCAGTAATAGTGACCTTCTGCACCAGGTTGCAAAATTGTATGTAATATATGTAGTAATATAAGAAGGGTCCAAGTGGATAATGTTTTTCATATATCACTATGGGTTTTTCCTGCTTCTGACTAAATGATTTGGGAATGTGGCAGAGACAGCAAGCATTACATAGAAACAATGGGTACGAAAGGTGTTGTGTTCAAAAAGGTTTTAATGTATGATAAATTGCAGTTCAGCCTACCCCACCCCAAGCTACCAAAGTAATATCGTTGTGGCACTCGGCCAAAGCAATTTAAGCTCAGCAAGCATGAAGTGGCATTATGAGCAAGGCGTGCAGTTCATGCCTGAACTGTGTGAGAATGCTTTCAAGCATAGGATGAGACATAACTTACTTGCTTCTGAATCTGTAATGTACCCTTGGAAATAGAAGAAATGGTTACTTACTAGACCAAGATAGAACTTGTGGTGAAAGAAACCTTGTTAACCTATTCTTCATTAGGGAGATGTCTACACAACAAATATAAACCTGTTTCACTGCTATAGCTTCTTCAATGAAAATTGTAAATTCCCCGTCTGTGATTAGGATAAAGCTCTAACACACAAATGAAGCTAAATTTCCCAGGGTTCCTGAGAACCAGCTTTAACCCAGCCTTACAATTACAGTGGTACCTCGGGGTACATACGCTTCAGGTTACATACACTTCAGGTTACAGCCTCCGCTAACCCAGAAATAGTACCTCGGGTGAAGAAATTTGCTTCAGGATGAGAACAGAAATTGTGCAGTGGCGGTGTGGCGGCAGCAGGAGGCCCCATTAGCTAAAGTGGTGCTTAAGAACGGACCTCCGGAATGAATTAAGTACTTAACCCGAGGTACCACTGTATCTAAATTGCAGCAGATGCTTAAAAGGACCATGGGTGCAAGCGCCAGTGTGTCGGGTATTGCTCATGACTAGCAATCTAAATCAAGAAAAGAGGATACCTTTTCCCCATATGGGCGTCCCATTCACTGAAATTTGTAGATCAAGAACTTCAGGTTCCTGTCCAGATCCCTTGCTGCAACCAAGGGCAAGGCCTTTTCTGCCATGCCATGTGGCCTTTGGAATAATATTCCTACTAAGGGAAGGTAGGCACCATCTGCGGCATCATTTTGACATCTTTTAAAGGGAAGGCTCATTTGTTCACCCAAGCGTTTGCCAATTTTTAATACTAGGCTTTTTACTGAACCTCTCTGTATTGATTTGTTTTCTGCCGGTATTGTAATTTTGGATTTTAATGTGTTGAAATTCTGGATTTTAATGTGTTGTGTTGATATCTCGTGTACACTGCCCTGGGGGTTGTTTTTTTTAATAATAAAGGACAATATGTAATTTTAAAATTAATTAATTAAGCAGGAGTACAAGGTAAACAATACATATATATTGCAAGTTCTCTTTCCAGCAATGTTTGAGAGGGCGAAAATGGCTTCATCTGTTTTTTTTAGATAGTAAGTACTTTATATTCCTGAAAGCGTAGTTAGGAAGTGGTTTAAAATTAGGAACTGGCAGGAAGCTTGCAAAGATCATTAAGCAAAGGCAAAATAACTATAATACTGCAAGCCATTCCACAGCCCCGTAAGTACAATCTGATAGCCTTTTACAGCCATGTAATCATCTGGATTCTTCTGTCCATATGCCTGCAAACACCTCCGCAGAATTTAACTTCCTATACATTGCATAAATGCCTGGTGCATCATAGTAGAATGGATGCTTAGCATAGCCATAAGGCATCATACAACTGTAGACTTGGGAGAGACCCTGGGGGTCATCTAGTCCAACCCCCTGCAACACTGAAATCACAGCTCAAGCATCTATGACAGATGGTCATCCAACCCTGCTTAAAAGACCTCTATTGAAGGAGAGTCCACAACCTCCCAAGCAAGAAAACCTTTTGGACTACAAAGCCAAGTAGAGGACTTCCGGGTTGGCGCCACCGGCAATGGCGGAATTCCTCTGACCGGGAGGAATCTGCCTCGTGGAAATTCGGGTTTGGCCGCCACGGCGAAGGCGGAGACCCACTAAAAATCACAGGCGGTTGAAGCCTGTGAACGTGGGATTCGGCGGGCACCTTTTGCGCCTCCCCTACCCGTGGGGAAACCCGATTTCGGGGATCTGGAGCAATGTGGGGTGAGCGGTGTGGTGCTTCGAATCGACTGCTTTTTCCACGAAGCGAAGCCACATAGCTGTTGCCGGAGAGCGCTGACTTTTTCCTGTGGACAATTTGATCTTAAAGCAACTACCCGTGAGTAGACTGAAGAATTGGATTTTTAAACATTCTAATTTGGCACTGAAACGGGGGAGGTTCAAAACAGGAAGTCCACCTCCCCTTTTTGTAAATAAGACTGAGGCAAAGAGGCTGCAAGCTAAAGCCTTGGAAAGCCCATTGTAAAGGACTAAATTCTCATCAGTAAAAAATATTAAACCCCCCTTGGAAGCAGGAGAAGAGGGGGGAGGCTTTGGATTGTATATTCCTGCAGGAGTGAGTGAGGAAGTTAAAATACCACCGCTCCGAACCTGGAAACGGGCTGCCAGTAAAACCAACGTGCATTGGAAGGTTCATTGACAGCGAATAGAACGTTCGGTGACAGCTAGCATAAGAGAGATACATTGTTTCCATTGTCTTCGTCTGTACTTAAAAAGGAGTAAAGTAACGAAAAATTGAAACAATCTTACTGAACTTTATTAAAAAAGGAGGAAAGTAACTGAAAATTGAAACTAATTTTTGGATTATTGAAACTGTGTCCAAAAGAGGACATACTGACCGATACAAATACAACTTGTTCTCCCCTAGTGGAAGCTTTCGAAATTTACTTGATAGGAGCTGGGCTAGGGGATTTTCCAGCTGCAAGATAAGAAAGTGTGAGACTTTGGAATTGACCTTGAATCTTTCAAGTGTTATGGCAAACGGAAAGGAAAAAACAGATGGGATGTCGACAGAGGAGGCCTTAGTGGCTGCATTATTGAAAATAAACGATTCGCTGGAACAACTCCACAAGAAAATAGATGCGAGAAATGTGAAATTGGATGTTGCAAGTATTGAAATTGATTCAACTGTAGAAAGCTTAAACAACTTGGGACAAAAGGTGAATACCAATTCAGAAACCACTCAGAAACTGACACAGGAATCTACTTCGATATGGCAAACTGCAGATGAAGTCAGGGGAAAAACCCTTGCTGCTGAGTCTAAAATAATACAATTGGAGAGGAGAGTCCCATCCATACAAAGACAACTTGATGAACATAAGCTGACATCTGAATTGGAAAAGGAAAGCTTGACAGAGTTTCAGGAGGCGATACTAACATTGGTTGAGAAAGAGAGGTATTTGGGGGTTGATATGACTGCCAAAAATGTGAATCTGCTTAAGGATAACTGTGAAGGATGTTGGATTGAAGAGAAGGGGGATCTGGAAATATGGACAAATCAGAAGTTGTCATTGTTGGGCCGAGTTATTGTGGTGGGGATGAGGGCTGCTGTGTTGTTGGGGATGTTGCTTTTGTTTCAAACACTGCAAGCTTTGGATGGGATGGAGGGTTTCAGGAGGTGGCAGAGGGATGCTCCTAGAGTTGTTTGGCAGGGCAGGAAGCCTCGAGTAAAACTTAAGATATTGATGGATGCCAAAGAAGGAGGAGGACCTGCCCTGCTAGACCTTTAAATTTTGCTGTGAACCATCTGCTTTTTGCTGGTTGAGAGAATGGTTGCTTTTTGAAAACATTGAAGCGTTGGACAATGGCAGATGAAATTGATGGACTATATGGAATTGGAGGAAATGGCTGGCAAGATCCGAGACCAGGGTGAAGAGTCGGTGGAGGAAGATTGGAAAAAATTTAAAGACCATTTATAGAGATATTGTAAAATTAAGGAATGTTAGAAAAATGTTGGAATGAAATTATATGGCTTTAGTAGAAATGTCATAAGGAATCAGGTATAAGTAGATTAATAGAAAATTAAAGGAAAAGTATGGCAAGAATGTGTTAAGATAATTATAGAACAGAAAACAGAGTAAGATGGAAAGGAATTGCTGAAACAAATAATAGAAGTGGAATACAAAAAGGGAGGTGGGAGGAGGTCGCTGGAAATAAGGGAATGAAATATAAGATATTGAAAATGTTTGAGGTGATTTTAAATTGTTTTTGCTTGTCTTTATTTGTTCATTTTAGTTCATGTAGCGTCTGTGTATTGTATTTGCATGGTTTTTTCTCTTTTTTTCTTTTTTCTCTTTTTTTGTTTGTGTTGGAAATGCTAAAAAAGTAATAAATATCATTTTAAAAAAAAATACAAAGCCAAGTAGAACTGTGACATGTAGGTGCATGTGGTCAGTTTTTAAAATACAAAAACTACGGTAAATTTGTCACCCTGGAACAGATAGCATTCAGCACGTGCCCCAATGGCAGTTTCCTATTGTACAGAACTGGTGGCATGGGAAATATACTTGAAAAAGCAAGTTGTCTGTACTTGTCATAGGAGCAGTCCATAATTGTTTTTAGATGTTCCACCTAGACAGAAGGAACATGAATGGAGGGGACATCACAGTAGAAGGCTCTGCCCTCATGCTGCAGGGACCTGTATCAATGTCTAAAGTAAGCCAACATTCATTTCAGATGAAATATATATAAAAAATTGTCCAGTAACACCTTAGAGACCAACTAAGTTTGTTCTAGGTATGAGCTTTCGTGTGCATGCACACGAAAGCTCATACCTAGAACAAACTTAGTTGGTCTCTAAGGTGCTACTGGACAATTTTTTTATTTTTTATACATATTTCTACTGCGTCAGACCAACATGGCTTACCTGAATCTAGATTCATTTCAGATGTGGAAATGAACACAGGTAGGTTGAGGCAGAGCCGCCCCCTGTAATGTCCTTCCTTTGTGCATTGGTTCTACATGGTACTTAGATACCACAGTTGGAACTCTTCAGGTTATATTTTTCACCTATAGCTGGATTTCTGTAAAACGTGTGTGCGTGTGTGTGCATGCAAGATATTGGAGGCTCTCCCATTTGGTTTGATGTTCGAAGTGCTTCTCGTCATGACCTGCTTGTATTCTAACCATAGACACCTGGTTGGTTGTTGGCGAGAAAGGATGCTGGATTAGACGGGCAATTGATGTCATTCACTGTCCTTATGAAAATGCTGAACATCCTGATAACACAAGTGGTAGGTTTAATTGCCATGACTTGTTGCACAGTTAAGTTTCCAAAGATGTTAACTTTGTAAATTCCCAAAGTAGACATTTAGTTACAAGAGAGTATGTTTTCTTTTCTTTACGGATTATTGATTGTAACTCTTTTATCCATACAGTTAGTAGACTTTGTAAAGATAAAAGAATTATTCTGGCCAACCTCCTCACCTAGTATTGACAGCCGCGTTAGGTTATCCGATACTGACGGAATAAAATGGAGAAAATGCGCTTTAACTGCTTTTGGTCACAACCTCTTGTAATGCTTCTTTTGTAATAGATTTCCATTGCATTAACGTTATTAATACCGAGCGCTAACAATTTAAACAAATGATATTTTTTATATATGCTTGCTTATAATATAATGGCACAAATTATCATTCCTGATTTGTCGCAGAACCCACTGACAGAAAAATATGGTAAATCAGGACAGATTCACAATGATGTTGACTATGATACAGGGAAATTTTGTTGTGATAGGCACATTTGAAGGGTGCTTCCACATCAAGTGGCTTGTGAATGAATAATGCTCCAAATCTAATAATTCATTGGAGAGCTTGCCTAGCAGTCTGGCAGATTGAGCATAAGGAACTGAGTCGTATCATTCCTACCAGTGAAGTTCAATGAAACTTACTCTGTGAAAAGTGCATTTGGGATGGCCACCTAATGGTATCCTCTCGAAAGTGGAAAGAACTTCCACTCATACAACAATGCTTCACCTTCTGATCCTTCCACTTGCAGCCCCTGGTGTAACTAGAAAAGGAGGCCTGGAGCTGAGATCCCCCACCCCTAGTTTAGGCCTCAACCCCCTGATCTAATCCAACAAAGCTCTTCTTATGTTCTGTGTCAAGTATGAATTGACTTGGCCTATTATGGTTACTAGGAGCCTGGTCTTCCACCTTTGCCTGATAGCAGAGAGGTGTCTTCTGCTTGCTGAAGGTTCTAGCTGTAGCTCCAGCTCTGCCCCTCAAAGACTATATTTCCCTCTACACAAAGGTGCACCTGGCTTCTGCCTTATGTCAAAGACACATCTCTTTACCATGGCTTTTGTCACCTGAGAAATAAGACCCATCCTATTCTTTTGATTATATTTTTAAACTGATCTTAATGTTATATTTTTATATTGCTTTATCCTACCCTGTGTGAAGGGTAGGAAGGAAATTCAATGACAACGTCCTGTATAGCATGGGTAAATTTTAGTCTTTCCCTTCAACTTTCTATGTAGAACCAAATGGTGCAAATGTCCTGGAAAGCCTGTAAACGCCACCCGGTAGTGGAGATAATCCCAGCACTAACTGGTGCGACCTGTAAAATGAGATCATATAAGCTTATCTTTTTGCTTTGAAGCCTTAGTTTTTGTCAGGGAACTGCCATCGGAGCTAGAGGCAGAGGGAAGGCACCAGAGGGATGGCGGAGAGGGTCCCAGTAGGGAGAGAGGCAGCCTGTCCGCTGGGGAAGGAAATCAGCGTAACACCAGTAGAGAAGGGGGGCAGATGGGGGAATCGGAGAGGAGGCTCCAAGACTCCTCGCCGGAGACCAGCGGAGAGAGTACGGGTACTCCGCTGCCCACACCCTCCCTGCGCAGAAGACTTCCGCGCAGGGAGAGTAGGAGGAGACCTGGCGTCAAGGAACTTTTGTGCTGGAAGAAGTTCAAGAAATGCCCACTGACGGATTCTGCCAGTGACTGAGACAGTCACGATGCTGGAGGCTGTTCAGTCAGAAAGGGTTTAACCAGGTAACCTAGCCAGGAGTGGTGACAACTTATGCACGAGCAACCCCTAAACCCATTACAGTTTTGGTTCAGTTAGTTGGGAGACATCAGGCTTCTCACAAGGGCTGCCTGTCAGCTACTCCCTTATCTGAGAGATGGATGGAGGTGGGCAATGGGCCTTTAAGCCAAGGGTGGTTAATTGGGCTATTATTGCCAGTTTACTTAGCTTGATTTTTTAGTTTTATTTTATAACTACCGGTAACACTTAACATATTAGCTTCTTGCAGACAATCATGGTGAACACTTGCTGTTTTGGTGTTCACCTCAGTCTGTAAAGACAACATGGTCTCTGGCATTGCATTGTAAGTTTTCACCTCTTCACAATAACACACCAAAATTGATCACTTCAATGTTTTTGACCTCCTTCTGTGGAACCCCCTGCTTCAAATCAGCCACACAGACCCTCCTTTGGGCCTATGGATCAGGACACTATCTTGGACAAAACTCTGGTTTCTGAACTTCTCCACCTTGACTACTGCAACTGGAGAGAGTCTTGCATCTTCCTCCTCCTCCTCCTCCTCCTCCTCCTCTTCTTGCCCAGCCTGTTACCAAAACATCACTATACACTTTCCCAAAAATATGTTCATAAAGAATACTAGAATACTACAGAGAAATAATTAGAACAAAAGCACTGGCAGCAAAGTTTAGGGCCCAGTGAATTGCTATTTAAAAAATAAATGATAGAACAAAGCAGCATAATTTGCTGCCTCATCTGTTAGTCCAAATCCACTAATATAAATGAGATAAAGATAAACCTGATCTTAATGAGCTTTCTTTAAAATGGGTGATTGGGAGTATATGAAGTATAAAACACTTCAGCAGCATTACTCAGACCTTGAAAATACAAATTATTTTTTGGGCACAGATACCAGCCTGAAACAATCTATACACTATTCTAATTGAAAACCACCAGATAGGAGGGATGTTCCCCCAGAGAATGAATTTTGTATTAAAATGAAAAACAAAAACATTTGGAACCTGTGGGCACATTTGCAAACCAGAGGCTCTGTCATGGGCATCGCATGTATACTCTATACTCAAGCACACACTGCAACCAATTATATTGGTTGCAACAAATTGCTTATTTCAATGAGGGGAGGCGGAGCCCAGGCTCCCGCCCACAACCACTCCCCTCCCTTCAGGGGAGGAGAGTCCTTATTTCAACCCTAATTCAGCAAGAGGAGGAAACCTATGGGCATGATGGAAGGCCTCTGTAGGCAAATTGGTGACCCCTGATCTAGCCATTATTGTCACCTCTGACTCTGCAAACTAACCAACACATAATCCATCTTAGATAATAATAACATCAATTCTTAGTTACTGAAAACACAAAGGGAGTGTCCCAGCCCAGACGTTGCTTTGGGCGATTTGGTGCATGTGTCAACCTAAGAATAATTCTAGAGGAGGCTAATGAACTAGTTCAATCTACTCTGCATATTGAATCCTGCCTTTGGGAGAGTTTCCCAGTTCACCTTCTATGGCTGACTGGGAAGGGCTTACCTGAAGTTGAGCATTAGCTGACATGAGGAAATGCATCTTTCTTTTCCTACACTGGCAGCTTTCCAACACATTGTTCTTCACTCCCTCTGTAATATGCAGTGTCAACCACTGTATCACAGCAGTTGTGAGAGAAGCTAGTGAGTTGGAAAGAAATTATACAAGTCATGGCAAAATGGGTCACAGTTAACAAAGATCCATTCAGGAAAATCTCTTAAAATTTCAGTCATTTCAGAAAGAAACCAGCTAAGCATTACAGTGTTGTTGTAAGTCTAGAATTAGGGTTCAGTTCTTTAAAATCATGAGGAATCTAAAATTAAATTACCTAAAGCATAACATAGAAAGATTCAGTGGCATAGAATAGTAGAGATATCCTAGCAGGCTTCAGTGAAATGCAACCCAACTCATTTTGCTACTCCGACAAGACAGAAAAGAAGGATATATTTCTTATATTATACTAGATATGATGTCAAATAGAAATTGGCTTAGCATCCAAAGCTCACCCGTTGTTTAATGCAGAATTATTATTTTACCAGCAGCATAAAAAGAGCCAGGGGAACAATAGATCACTTGAATCTGAAGTAGAAACTGACTGAATATATCCTGCCAAAACGACACTCTTCTTCATTTGCTTAATGATGCTGGAAAGCTGTGCGTGATTCAGGAAAGACAAAAGGCACTATTTTTAGCTGTCTCCTAACTTAGTTTCCCCAAAATCTGCCTCTGGAACCTTCCTAGGGCAGAAAATAGTCTTGATTCAGTCCAACACAAAACTCTCAATGGCTAATTGTAATGCATTCATAAAAAAGAATGATGCATTCATAAAAAGATTTAACTAGATTTCAGTTGTCCTTAAACTGGAACAGCAAGACCAAATAGTTTCCTTGGACTCCTTCAGATATCCAAACATCAGCAAACATGCACACTAAAAATATAGATGGGGTCATAAAAAACCCAGAAGGAAACCAATCGATTTGGAGTGTGCATAGTGTCTAAATAAAAAATAATAATAACATGCACCCTTCAACTTTCTAAAACAAATGATATAGCTATAAGCACTAAAAAGCACTTTGATGCATCACTAGAATGAACAAGCATAACGTATTTTGTATGTAATGAACACCAATGGTGTTTGGCCATCAGTTGGTCGTCTTCAGTGGTCTAATATCACATTCCAGTCTCACAGATACACCCAGTTGCAGGTGAATCCAACGAGGATAGCAGACACAGCTTGATTCATTTTCTAAATGCAAGCAAGGGCAAGCATAAAAGCTGAAGCAGGACACCAATA